TTAAGTCTAGAACAAAAAATTACAAAATATGTCTTTTAGCTTTCTTTAGGTGGTAATAATCCCCCGTGGTTTTTCTTTGTGCATCGGTTCTATTCCATGGGATGTAGTTTGAACCGGGTAGTTTTATCTTTTAGAGTAGTTTAGGGAATAAAATGGAGGAAAAAAGATGAATGATGAACCTAGGCGCCCTTGACTTGTTTGATAGTAGCATATTTAGGCTTTGGCATGTGTAGTATCTTCCCTATGATTTGAAATTATTGATGATGCCTTGCTTAGTTGGATAGCATGTCTTGTGATGCCTATGTCTCGTTTTCTTGACTTATGTTCACTTTGTGTTTCATGCTTAATATCTCGTGGCTCCGTGAATACTTGCATTTGTTTGAGAGTCGGAATGAGACCGTTCTTAGTGAGTCATGTGCCATGTGTGGTGAGGTTTTTGTATAGTCTATGTATTGTAATTGTGTCTAGAACTTGCCCGGTTTGTGGGTCGAAGCGAAATTTTAGGTGATGCTCGGTTTGAAAAATGATTTTAGGCTTTCTTTGATCTTTTTGAGCTTAATTGCTTACCACAAATAAAATTTATCCCTAGTCAACCCTTTTGAGCCTATAGACTTTTATTTGGTACCCACATTACAAGCCTATACCCTTTTTATTCTTAATTGACATTGTTTTGATCCCTTTTCCTCTTAAAGCACTTTAATTGTGAGATGAACGCTAAAAGAAGTAAGAAGGAACTAAGTGTGGGGTGGCTTTTGAGTGGAACCAATAAAAGGAAGAAAGGTGCACTTGTTTTGTAAAATAATACACCATTAGCAGAAATTGAAAAAAAAATAATCTGAAGGAAAAAAAAATATATAGAGATGAATACATTGTTGTCTTGTTCCTGCTAGTGGGTATGAATATGTAGTGCTTAAAGAAAGAGGGAACATTGTTGGGAGTGATTTTAGTTGTGAAATTGAAGTTGGGATTGAAGAATTTGCGCTTAAAGTTGATTATGTGGTGTGTTAAAGTGCTTAGGAGGGTTAGTCACTATTCCTAAATATATCCTACCCGTCCCTTAGCCCACATTACAACAATGAAAGTCCTAATTGATTTTAGATCGAGTGAGCCTACATTAGTAGAGATTTACATTATGGGCAAGCCTATGGTACCAATTACATGCATGTGACATCTTTTGTGAGGGTGAGCGATATTTTCTTTGATATATATGAGTCCTTAAAATATATTTGATCATGATCTCTATGTTTTGCAGTTTTTAATAAATATCTAGGTTTTTCTTACAAATTGTGTAGATTGCTCCTTAAAAGGCTCCCACCTCATTATTAGTGTCTTCAATTAAGGGATTCAATTATATCCTTTCCTTTTTTGTCCCTCTCCTCTTCTCTCTCCTTTTTTAACAACAAAATTCCTTAATCTACGGCCAGAATCTCCATCTTCTCTCTTCCCACCATTGTCGATAATTTTGTATTATTAAATCATCAATTGCATCGTTCTTTTGCTGGGAGACCGGACAACACTGAAATTGAAGAAGTATTCAAGAATTTTATGATAAATGTATCATAATTGTATTTAAATTGTATCAGATACATCAATACGTAAAATGTA